CTTCCTTCCTTCCTTCCTTCCTTCCTTCCTTCCTTCCTTCCTTTCCCTTCCCTTCCCTTCCCTTCCCTTCCCTTCCCTTCCTGCCTTCCTTCCTTCCTCTTCCCCTCCCTCCCTCCCTCCCTCCCTTCCTTCCTTCCTGTCTGTTAGAGTGCAGCATTGCGGGTTAACTCTGCCCACAGTCAGGAGCTCGATCCTGATGGGCTCAAGGTTGACTCAGCCTTCCATCCTTCCAAGGGGGGTAAAATGAGGACCCAGATTGCTGGGGGCAATAGGCTGACTCTGTAAACTGCTTAGAGAGGTCTATAAAGAACTGTAAAGCGGTATATAAGTCTACTGCTATTGCTATTGCTATTTCCAACAAATAAATGGATTTTATATTGTAAGCATGATATCCCCTTGAGGCTGGTAAGCATCAAGAGAAATTTTGCTGAGCATGTAGGTGCCCATAAATTTTCTGTTGAAAATCAAAGGTAACATGGTAACTCAGACATGTAGGTTACAAACTTCAATGCATTTTACTCCTGGATTCTAATAATGTAATAAGAACTATTCATCTTGTAGGAATCTACCCAATATTATTAGTTATCTATTGATGGGTCCCATATCAGTTAATGAAGAAAAGGATACTCGAAGCAATAGACCTGAATGGACCACAGTCAAATGATGGTGGGATGGATACAATGGTATAGACAACGGGTAGAGTCGAGAGGAATAGAATGAACAAGAGCATCGCCATGTAGAAGTTGTTGGATCTTGAAGCTTTGAAGACTCTTTCATGGGGAACATTGCAGCACATCACAGCCCAACACTGAAGGTACATAGACGTATGGAGGCGGAGAACATTGATAGCAGGAAGACATGGTGCATAAAAAGAACCCATCCTAGAAACAACAATAAGGGCAACCAAAAGATTACATGCTGGTCCAAATGAGCTTTTGTGACCTTTGACCCCTTTTTCTACTTACTGACTTGCTTAAAAAACTTACAAGTGTGATTCTTTCTTTTTTCCGGATCACATGTACTTGACCCACCAGAGCGGGGAAACAGAGAATGCTACACGTCTCATCTCCTAAGAAGGTATATCTAAGAGGACCAAGAAAAAGGGCCTTCTCTGTGGTGGCTCTCTCCCTATGTAACATCATCTCTACCGAGAAAAGATTGACACACACACACAAACACACACACACAAAATTCGGACACTCTATTGCAAGGCCCTGAATATCTGGTTTTGCCAACAGACCTGGAGAACCTAGAGTGGGATGGATCAAGTGGTTTATTTGATTGACTGATTGTTGCTTCTAGGGGAGAGGATTAGTGCTTTTATTGTTTTTTTTTAATATTGGGTGTTTTTTTAAAAAATCTTTGTAAGCTGAAAATGAGTTAGGGATCCATATAAATTTTCTCAATAAAAAATTAAAAAATAATCTTTAAAAAAATTAAAAAATTAAAAAAATAGTCTACTAATCTACATTATTTTATTTGCCCTGAGATGCTTTTCACAGATGCTGTTTCCAATGTTGTGGTATAAGGTGATTGATTAATACACTCATTATCTCACATGTAAGATCATGTTTTTATTCTAAGTTCAGTTGACTTAGATGAAGTCCTTTTATTATTTTCTAAGATATTTTAGATTTTGTGATTGAAATAAATGAATGGAAGGTTCAAACAAATAAGTAAAAACTGGCCATGCCAGCTTTTTGTTAAACAATGACATTTTAAAATTGCTTTCACAGACCACTATCCATTCCTGCAAATGGAGATTTCCAAGGATCGTACCAATCAATAGTGTGGATAAATTAATAGGAGTTGTTCATTTTCAGAAGGGGTAAAGACCTCAAGCTTCATTTCAAAATATCTTGAAATTGTTTTTCTTGGCAACCCACTAAGTCGGGAGAAACAGAATAGAGGTGGAAAATAAAGGAAAGGAAGATAAGAGGAAGAAGATGGGAGAGAGGTAAGTTAAAAAAACCTGGCCAAAGAAAATAAGAAAAAGAATTCATGGGCCACAGTCACTTTCAGCTCTGACTGGTCTACTTGAAGCTTCTGCATAGGAGAAGAAAATTAAAATAAAAACCTAGGGTTTCAATGCATGATTGCCATCTGGACCACCAATCGTAGCCTTTGAGAATAGCCCGCTCCTCTCTCATTAAGTACCATTATGTAACACCTGGCTGAAATTAGAAATGAATATGGTCTCTGATAAAAACAGAAAGGTGTAACAAGAGCAATACATTTGACTTTTATTTATGGCAGCTGACACAGAGAAGCAGCAATGTTCCTTGAGAAGGCATATATTTCAGTCAATCGCTACAGATAGCACATTGATATTTGTAACATGGTTAGATTAAACAAAGTGGTGTTTGCTCCTTTTCGCTCCTGTGTCATGTGGTAATAAAATTGTGCAAAGTAGACTGAGATCTGACAGAGCTGAAATACCATTCCTCCACAAAAGATGTGATGGTAAGGAAGGACACTAGACATTAGATTTTGACATAATTTTTGAGCGGGTCCTTGGTGCTCTCAACTTGATTTATCTGACCTTGGCCCTGATGATGTTACTTAGTTTGGTACAGTGGTGCGATTCAATTTTTTTTACTACCGGTTCTGTGGGCGTGACTTGGTGGGTGTGGCATGGCTTGATGGTCATGGTAGGGGAAGGATACTATAAAATCTCCATTCCCTCCCCACTCCAGGGGAAGGATACTGCAAAATTCCCATTCCCTCCCTATCAGAAGGGACTTGGGAGGCAGAGAATAGATGGGGCAGGGCCATCCAGAGGTGGTATTTACCGGTTCTCCAAACTACTCCAAAATTTCCACTACCGGTTTGCCAGAATTGATCAGAACCTGCTGAATACCATCTCTAGTTTGGTAATGAAACATGTGCAAGGAAACAACCAATCTCAGAGATCACAAAGCATCCCTCATTTCAATCCTGTGCTACAAGTATTTTCCTGTATGACTAATTTTTTGCTAGACATTTAGTAAAATTCCAGAAAATAATCACCTTGTTTCAATAGTTAATGCCTAATTTTGGAAAACAGATATAAAATTTCTTGTCATGAATATGTAGCCTCATAAATCATAAGCTTGATGTCAGAATATTGGGGTCCCTTATGTTGAGCGCTAAAAGGGGAGACAATAATATACCTCACTACTTCTTTCTAAATGCATTGTCTGAACAGCATATAGGTGAAGTGTCTCAATGGATTCACAACAGCATCAATGCTCATTACAATTTAAGAAGGTCTGTGCCGAATTGGTCTAGAAGTGATTGATGGGATTGCTAATTCTGGCTGACCTATTACAATATTAGCATATAATTGTTCAGTTGCTCAGGGAATTTAGCAGTTCACCATCCAGCTTCTCTGGGGGATGTGAACATTCTGAGTTTAAGTGAGGTTAAAGCAAGCCAAGGCAGCCTGAGTCCTAAGGCACATACTGCCCTTAGTTTAACTTCGTAGAGCCTGGTTTTGGAAGATCTTTCGATGTGAGCAATTCGGACCTCTAACAAGACTGGCTAATGTCAGAGGATGTCAGAATGTGAGAAAAAGGGGCAGCCATAAAAATGAAAGGGTCAGGAAAAAAGGTAATTGCATTTATAGGTAGTCCTCAACTTACAACCATTCATTTAGTAACTGTTCAAAGTTACAAGCGCCTTGTAAAAAGTGACATATGACATTTTTCAGACCACTACAGCATCTCTGTGGTCATGTGATCCAAATTCGGACACTTGTATTGATGATGGTTGCCGTGTCCTGGGGTCAGGTGATCACCTTTTGCCACCTCCTGACATGCAAAGTCAATGCAGAAGCTAGTTCACTTAAAAAACCATGTTATTAACAACTGCAGTGATTCACTTAACAACCGAAGCAAGAAAAGTTGTAAAATGGAGCAAAACTCACTCAACAACTATCTTGCCTAATGTTGGGCTCAATTGTGGCCATACGTTGAGGACTACCTATAACTGTGATGGCACGCCTACCCGAAGTGGAATGCAGAGCCATGTCGGCTGGCACATGCAGCATCGCCCGATCATCTTCCGGGTTTCTGGCACACATGCGGGCATGACGATCAGCTGTTTTTTCACCTGCGGCAGTGCCAGAAACTGGAAGAGGTGGTCTTCCATTTTCCACCATCCAGCTGATCGTCGCGTGCGCATGCACATCAGTAACCAGAAGTCAAGCTGTCCAGTGCGCATGCACATGCTAGGAACCAGACATTCATTTCCTGGGACCGCATGCCCATTAGGCAGCTTCTCTTCCTGGGCGCATTCCTGACACGCACATGTCCTTCCTTTTCAGCCCTCGGTGGCGAAAAGGTTTCGCCATCACTGACCTATAATATATTTGCTGCTTGTTTTAGACCTGCTTATCAATAGCAGGTAGCATGCCCACAATAAATCAGGCTAAAAGAAAAATATTACCCAGAAGGCATGTGGACTAATAGCTGCCATCCAATCAAAATGCCAAAGTATCAGCCCTACTCAGTCCTGTGAAAGCTCTCCTGGGTAAGTCTACTTGCCAGGAAGGAGAGTGGGGATGAAAATCCAAGCTCAGTTTACTTTCTGATGTCTTTTGCCAATCTTTACACAACTTGGTGAGTGACATCCTTCAGAGGAGATGGTCCACTTTCCTTTGAGGTTCTCCCTGAACTAACAGAGTCTACTAATGTTCTAGTGAAGTCTGTCTTGACAAAAGAGACTTTGTGTTATAGCCCAAACCTTTCTCTGTGTAAAGGAGCAAAGGGGGAGATCTGCCAATAGAAGAGAATATTTATTTGTAGCTCAGAATTGAACTGTAGGGTCCTTGGAGCTGTTTGGATTTGGTGGTTTTCTTGCAGACATTTCATGACCCAAATAGGGCAAGTCACCAGTGCTAGAAGAGAGTTCTGTTTGCTCTCTTTTTATATAGTAGCGCAGTGGCGGCTAATGTTTTTGGCACTGAGTGCTGAAACTGGAACTTGTGTGCGCATGCACCAGAGCACCAGAACCCGGAAGAGAGCAGCTGACTGGTGCGCATGCACACGGCAGCCAGCTGCTCTTCCAGATTCCAACATGCGTATGCGCACCGGACAGCTGGTCTTCGAAGATGAGCATGCCAGAACACAGAAGAGAGCAGCTGGCCAATGTGTATATGCACAGGAACAGCTGCCTGGTACACATGAAGAGCAGCTGGCAATGCCGCTCATGCCCACAAAGACGGCTCTGCGTGCCACCTCTGGCATGCATGCCATCGATTCGCCATCACGGCACTAGTGGCTTGCCCTTTAAGTGTGTGTGTGGACAGAGTGTTCTGGAGATTCTTGATATATACTCCTTGATAAACAGCAGCCTAATCAAGGAACCATCAAGAACATTCCTACCCACAGTGACAGGACAAGCCACTTGTCCTAATAAGAGAGCAAATCCCACTTTCTTCTAGCACTGATGATGTTATCTGGTTTGGTAATGAAATGTCTGGGGGAAAAAACCAACCAAACTCAGAGAGAACCAGGGACCCAACAGAGTAGACTGTTTTCCCAATTTTCATTTCCATTCTACTGAAACAAATGGAAAAGAATCGTGTTGGTGGAATGACTCTGTAAAATCTAGAGCAAAGGATGGGTAGAGTAACCACAACCGGACCCTGACAATCTGGAAGCATTAGGGAAACATCAAAGTTCTTGTCACCCAGCAGGCCTCAAAACTCTGGTCATTGTGCTCCTTCCCATGGTGGTTGCTATGGTGGGCTTTGAAGTCTGGGAATCATCTTGAAAAATGATGCAATTATACCACATCATTGTATCTACTGAGTTCCTAAGGGTTTACCCTCAAGGGCCGAGCAAATGTCAGCAACAGCACTGGTTATAAACTATTTATTAATCATTGCCATGAACATTGCCAGTCACATTCATAAGGCAATGGAAGCACAGAAAAGTAAATCACAGAAGGAAGAAACTCCATTTCTAGAGAAATGCTGTGACCTCTGTGTCAATTCTTTGGAACAGAATTAATGTTCCATTTTCTAACTTCAAGTGGTTAAGGAATGAAAACAGTGGTATTAAATTACTTGGAAGGGGGAATGGCTTTTGTTTGAAAGATGCCAACCAATATCTTTCTAACTTCAGAGGCAGAACCAGATCTTGTGCCCTGTTCATACTAAGTTACTTCATCACACCCAGCAGGGAATTTCAGATCCCACAAAAGTCAAATTGGCACCATGAAATGGAAACTCCAAAGCCAGATTACAATTGTGATTGCGTGCCCAGATCTAGAGACTGAACAAACAATTCACTCTCATGTTACAATCCTGTTCCCGTTTTGTATTCTCCACAACAGGGGTCTCCAACCTTGGCAACTTTAAGGCTTGTGGACTTCAACTCCCAGAATTCCTCAGCCAGAAATTCTGGGAGTTGAAGTCCACAAGTGTTAAAGTTGCCAAGGTTGGAGACCCCTGCTTTACAAAATCTTTTTGGGGGGATCTTTTGCATTTCCCAAGTTGCACTAACCAGATCATGCCTTGATTGAAGATCAGACCAAGCACATTTCCACTAATGTCAAATTCTGAATACGAAGGCTAAGAAGAAAGAACAGAAAATTTTCTTAGATTTGTACAGTAACACCATTTAGGATGATGTGAAAAGCAATTATTCCACCACAGTTGTTTCGCATTAGGGTTTCCTGGTGCCAACACATATTGTTGAAAAATAGTTTGTCCCCCGAAGGTAGACATTTTAAAGCCGGATTTTGCATTGTGTTAATAGAACTGTTTAAGTACACAGACTTCTTTAAGGTTCTAGTTTTAAAAAACTAGAAACATGCTATAAATATATTATTTATAGTTTATAGAGAGGCTGTCAAAAAAGTCAATCAAATATTACAATTTCAAAACAGTCTTCACTAGGATTGCTTGAAGGATTTGAAGCGGGGAGGGAGGCAAATGGCAGCCATAATAGTACAATGGAGGCTGTCTTTGTGGGCATGTTAGTGTTTCAATAGCACTGTTGTGGCCCTTATCTTTATGATATTTTTGGACACCTCTATTATTAAATGATGTGGATAAAAAGGTGGGGACATTCCCCCCCCCTCCATATCTACCATGCAACAATGTACAAAATTGAACGCCGATACATCTCTCCTCAGTGCCTTGTTTTTTCCCTGAATTTCTCTAAAAACTAGTAATGGTTTCCCTTTTAACCCGCTTTAAGATCAATCCATATGGGATGCGGTGGCTCAGTGGCTAAGATGCTGAGCTTGTCAATCAGAAGGTTGGCAGTTTAGCGGTTCGAATCCCTAGCACCATGTAATGGAGTGAGTTCCCGTTACTTGTCCCAGCTTTTGCGAACCTAGACGTTTGAAAGCATGTAAAAATGCAAGTAGAAAAATAGGAACCACTTTTGGTGGGAAGCAATGGTGAAATTCAAATATTTTTACTACCAGTTCTGTGAGCATGGCTTGGTGGGCATGGCAGGGGAAGGATACTGCAAAATCCCCATTCCCTCCCCACTCCAGGGCCAGCCAGAGGTGGTATTTGCCAGCTCTCTGAATTACTAAAAATTTCCACTACCAGTTCTCCAGAACCTGCTGAATTTCACCCCTGGTGGGAAGGTAACAGATTTCCATGCGCCTTTGGAGTTTATGATGCCGGCGACATGACCACAGAGACTTCTTCAGACAGCGCTGGCTCTTCAGCTTTGAAACGGAGATGAGCACTGCCCCCTGGAGTCAGGAACGACTAGCACATATGTTTGAAGGGAACCTTTATCTTTTAAGATCAATCCATAAGAAGTACTTATTATATTCAATCCAGAAATGAACTGGATCGATCCAGAACCCATTTAGCGTTTCAGGTTTTATTAAAAATGGGTTTGGGCAGATAAGAAAAACATGTAAATAATCCTGACTAGTTATCACAATTTTCTAGAAGAGGCTTCTTTATCTTTCACAAATCCCTGATGAAGAAAAAATAAACAGAAAGAAATAATGGCTAAAGCTCCATGTTAGAAACCAGGAGATGGTGACATCTAGTCCTACCTTAGACATGAAAGTTGCTGGGTAACTTTGTAACAGTCACCTGTATTACCTCACCTCACCTCACAGCTTTGTTGCTGTGGGGAAAGTAGGAGGAGGAAGGGATATTAAGACATATTTTCTACCCCAAGTTATTTATAAAAATAATAAAGGCAGGATAAAAAAAAATTTTTTAAAAAATCCACAAATGGAGTTTTTTGTCAGCCTACAGTTGAAGTGTTGGAGATATAAAAATCCTTCCACCTGCTATATCTTCTTGTCACCCAGATTTTAAAAACACAGAATCCAAACAAAAATATTCTTTGTTTCTCAACTTTGGCAAGTTTAAAATGTATGGACTTTAACTTCCAGAATTCTGCATTCTGATTGACGAATTTTGGGAACTGACATCCAAACTTACCCAGGACAAACACCTGCCTATAATAAACATAAAATATTTGCCTAAACTCAAATATTTTTTGTTGGTAGATCAGAAAAGCGCATGCTAATCCCTCAAATGCCCTGCCAAAAACTGAGCAAAATGTACCGGTTACATCTCAAGTAAGGAATTAAGCTGATTATCCTTGATTCATTTGGCATCATTAAAAAGGAAAAGCAGCAATAGTTTTATGTAATATGTATTTCAAAGAGTGAAACGAACATAGTGCCTAACATTTGAAATACAAATTTTAATTTCCAGAAATGGAAAATCCTACCTTTTGCTAGTAACTTGATGATCTAGGAGCCCTTAGAATAGGGGTGTCAAACTCACATCATCACATTATCCTCATCTGACTATTGGGACTCTTTCCCTCTTTGCTAAACCGGGGGTGGGCGTGGCCAACATGTGATGCATCCGGCCCATGGGCCGTGAGTTTGACACCCCTGCCTTAGGAGAATCCTAGGCAGAACCTAAAATTATGATAAAACCCTGTATTTTCCCCTCATATTAGTTTGTTAGCCTATGATTAAATATATATTCCACCACGTGAATGACAACCATTTTCTCCTCTCTTCTTCCTCTTTCTTTTATTCACCTTTTGACTATCTTGCAGGATAAAGTGTTCTGCATTGGGGTGTTTGAACATTAATACATTAAGAGAAGAGTTATCTCACCATGCCAGTGATGGCTAACCTTTTTGTCACTGTGTGCTGAAACCCACACCCATAAAGCAATGCTCGTATGACAGCCCCCTGCACCTCCGCATCCCTGTGCATGTGGGTGTAAGCCAGGGGTGGGTTCCTCCCGGTTCGCACCGGTTCTTGCGAACCTGTTCGTCAGTGAACCCGGAAGTAATTAACTTCC